AAAAAAAAAAAAAAAAAAAAAAAAAACTTCACACTTTACAGAATGTAAATATAAATGTTTCCAGAAAATTTCAGTCCAAAGTCCAAACAATAAAATTAGTTGAATCATTCTGCATTCTCTTACATTCGTACATATAACAGGCCATCTATTTCTACCGTAAAAATAGCACGGTATAGCTAGTTTTCGGACTAGTCATTCAAAAATAGATAGCGTTTACCAAATCAATGAAAAATAGCCACATTTTTGCTGCAACAGAGACCGGTCCAGCATAATATACTGGAGTTCGGTGCACATGTGTATGAACTCCAGCATATTATGCTGGACCGGTATACTTTGCTGGCTCCAGTATAATATACTAGAGACTGGAGCACCGGTGCTCCAAACTCCAGCATATTATGCTGGACCGGTATACTTGCTGGAACTCCAGTATATTATGTTGGAGTTCCAGCATACTTATCCTGGAACTCCAGTATAATATGTTGGAGTTTAAGTATACTTATGCTAGAACTCCAGGATAATATACTGGCGTATTTTCCGGGTTTTGAGCAGTGTTTTCGCTAAGATTTATCTTTACATGAAAAGTGGATAAATTTCGATTACTTTTCAAACTGGGCTATTTTTGAACGACCAGTTATAAATCTGACTATTTTTAAATTTCTCCCATTTCTGCCCTATTTGTATGGTGTAATTTTTCGACAAAAGAAATTCAATGAACGTCTTCAACACACTTGGTGGGTTGTAAATAATAGGCCTCCATCAAAAGGACATAGATTATGAGTAAAATACTAGCAAATTTTTCTGCAAGCTTCTATCTATATTGGCGATAACTTATTTGTTTCCAGCTTACACTGGTATTTCTCCCTGAATTTGGTGATCAAAACTTTAAAGGACCGTTATCTCCAAAGAGTATGCGAAAAGAAATTATTATTTTTCGTATTTTCCTATTCCTATTTACTTATTTACTCATTGTTTCATGGAAGGGGTGGGTGGTTAAATAAAGATCTAAATTATCACCGTTAAATTTTGTGGTTATAGAGTGAAGAATCTATATTATTTTCGAAAGAGCTTAAGTTGTGTGCACATTATCATTTATCAGATTAAGTTGACTTAAAATAGCATATCTCTTCGTAGCAAGTTTTTTGGTAATTTGTCAAATAGATTATGATACGAGCTGAGCTAAGAAGAAAAAACAAGAAAAGCAATGGAACAGTAAAATGAGGAAAAGAAAAAGAAAGGAAGAGCAGAAAAGTAAGCTAACTTAGAGCAATAAAATAAGAGTTTGATATATTTCTTATCTGAAAAAGAGAAGATCCTTACAATTTATAGTATGGTAACCCTAAATGACCTAGTTGACACTGTACGAACACTGCCCAGAAATGGCAATAGAGTCGGGCCTAATGTGCCTTGATAGCCTAAATGTATGGGATGAATGTGTAATTACAATAACTATAACTTAAAAGTAATTGGGACTAAACTGACTATCGTGCAAACTTCTCCTAACCTCCTTCTCAACTGATTATAACGGCTATGTACTCCTGCACAAGCACAAGGTACCACAACCTGAAGCAACCTGCAGCTGGATTCGTATCAGATTCCCCTCGTTAAAATCTTCCTTGTCCTCAAGGAAGGAATGTAGGGAACCTGATTTTGAGAGATTGATAATCCTCCCAAGTGGCCTGATCTGGTGCTGCTTTGTCCCATTGAACCAACACTTGCGCGACAGCTTTATTTCCCTTTTGGATCATTCTTCTGTCAAGAATCTGCTCAGGTTGAGGGCAGTATGGGCTAGATATATCAATTATGGGTGGGTGTGAAATGGTATCAGGGAGCTTATAACAGGATTTAAGTTGGGAGACATGAAATGTGTGATGATGTAGGAGCTGAGAAGGCATGGATAGCTTATATGCTACATTACCAATCTTTTGCAAGATTTGGTAAGGACCATAGTACTTTGCTGAGAGTTTGGAGAAGTGAGTGTTTGAAAGTGTCACCTGCCTATAGGGCTGTATTTTGAGGTAAACTCAGTCCCCTTCCTTGAATTGCCTATCACTCCTATGTCGATTAGCTTGATCAACCATTCTCTGTTGCACCCTTTGTAAGTGATATTGTAACAATTGATATTTAAATTCTCTTGTCAACAAACATCTGTCCACCTCTTCCATAGCTGAATCCCCTGCCATATATGGTAAGTGAGATGGTGGAGGTTGACCATATAGAGCCTCATAAGGGGTGGTCTGAATTGAGGAGTGAAAGGTAGTGTTATACCACCACTCAACTGCTGCTAAATAAGAGGACCAATCCTTTTTGAGAATCAGAGCAAAAACACCTAAGATAGGTTTCCAAACATCTATTAACCACCTCTGTCTGCCTATCAGACTGTGGATGATAGGCTGTAGAAGTGCTGAGAGTGACCCCACTCATGGAGAATAATTCCTACCATAGCCTACTAGTGAAGACATGATCCCTATCACTCACTATATCCTCAGGCATCCCATGTAGTCTGAACACATGCTCCATAAATAGCTTAGCAATATCAGAGGCAGTATAAGGATGAGCCACTCCTATGAAGTGAGCATACTTGGCCAATCTATCTACCACCACCCATATCACTATCTTTCCTTTAGCTTTGGGAAATCCTTCAATAAAATCCATGCTAATACTGCTACAAGCTAATGAAGAAATCTTGAGTGGTTGTAAGAGTCCAAGATAAGGTACTGTCTCATACTTGTGCCTCTAACATGTGTCACATTCTTTGACATATGTATGAACATCATCCTTTATTCCTTTCCAATTGAAGAGTGCATCTATTCTTCTGTAGGTGTGATCTATGCCTGAATGTCCTCCAGTAGGGAAATCATGCCATAATTTCATGATCTCTTTTCGCAGTTGCTCATCAGGTCCCACCACTAGCTTCCCATTTCTTCTTAGTTGGTTGTGTACAAAGGTGTACCCTTTTGATTCTCCACCTTCTTTCTTGAGACTTTCAATAAGGGCTACAAGCTCATCATCTAACTCCCAAGTCTTCATTATCTGACCCAACAAATCAGTCTTGATGGTACAGAGTGTTAAGGCTGCTAATTCGACCAATGGCAGTCTAGAAAGGGCATCTGCCACCTTATTCTCCTTCCCCTTTTTGTACTCAATCACAAAGTCATATTACATAAGTTTAGTTATCCATTTCAGCTGGGATCCTGTGTGCAGCTTCTGTTCCAGGAGGAATTTCAGTGCCTTTTGGTCTGTCTTAACTGTAAAGGGTCTTCCAGTTAAATATTGTGACCATTTGTTCACTACCACGACTAAGGATAACAGCTCCTTGTCATACACTAAGAAGGTTTGATGCTATGGAGATAAGCCTTTGCTTAGGTAGGCTATAGGCTGACCTTTCTGAATTAATACAGTTCCTATTCCCACACTGCATGCATCTGTCTCCACAACAAATGGTATAGAGAAATCAGTGTCACACCTCCTTTTTACCACCCAAGAGGGGGATATAAGGGAGTTTTTCCCAATTAAAGTGACATTATTCGAAATGGGATTAATTATTTATTTTTCAGAGTCGCCACTTGGAATAGTTTATTTGGTGTCCTAAGTCACCGATTTATTTTAAAATCCCAAGTCAAGGAAATTTGACTTTATTTAAAAGTTTGCGAACCAAAAATATTAGATAAGGAATTCTGTTAAACCGGGAGAAAGTGTTAGGTATTCTCGGATTTCGTGGTTCTAGCACGGTCGCTTAACTATTAATAATTGGCCTCATTATCTAATTTATTACATGTTTTAACCTATTGTGCATTTTTAACTTAGAAACGCTTTTAATTGATTTAAACCGCTTTTAGAAAGATTCAATGTCATTTAAAACACATCGTAAACCACGCTACATGAAATACACCCGCGGTTCGCAACACGCTTTATTTCACATTATTGAGAATTGGGTCACATGAAATGTACACCCGGATTTAGTAATTAAAAATCACAACTACGTCACGGGAACCGTACCTGTAGCTATGATGAATTATTTAAAGAACGCGCCTAAAGCAACTACGAAGGTTCAAATTAATAACAACATTTGTGAGGGCCATGGAGAGTTTAATTGATGGCATACCTCGACTTTAAAAGTATTAAACTCTCGAATTAAATTTGTGAGGGCCATATATTATGGTTTTAAGCATGACACATCTCAAATTATTTTAAGAAAAGGGGTATATATTTTTAAAGGCAATCTAAAGGTACTCTTATTTTTAATCTAATTCAAAACTAGTTATCACAACTATATCGTGGGAACCATATCTGTAGTTGTAATAATTTAATTGCGCGCCTAAAGCAAATTACAGGTATTTAAAGAATTAATTACTTCAAAGTTTGTATTACTAATAAGAGGGTCATGGGTAATTTTTAATGAAAGATGGCACGCCTCCAACCATTTTAAAAGGATTACACTTAATTAAACCTAAAGATATTTACATCCAAAAATGGGCTCAAGCCATTGATTAATGTGTAAAGCAATGCAACAAGCCTAAGCTAATCGAGGCAGGAACTGGGCCAACGCCAGGCCCAGTGTATTATTGCACGCTTCTCCTCTTCTTTGATAAAAGAGATGGGCATCATCACTCATTTGGCTCAGAATTGAGCCTAGGTGCAAGTTACGCAATTAAACCCAAACGCAAGCCAAAAAGAGATTCCCTGCTACAGGCATAATGAGTTGGCTACTGCATAATTGACAAAGTAAGAGGAAATTCAAAAGTCCTCACTACATTGGAACCTCTGACATGCTGACAAACATATACACATAGTGACAAAAATAGTAAATAAAAGAAATCAGTCTTTACAAACACATGTTACTGGCATGCACCCATTCATTCTTCTAATTAAGGATTAAACATTAGTCTTTCAATTTTACTTGACTAACAGTGAATGAATAAACATCAGAAATACACATAAAACATTACTCGCACACACACATCATACAAGAAATAGACATGAATCTCGATCAGTTGCACCGAAATTTTACGAGACACTACAGATAAAGCCTTATCTCTCTATGTAAAAATCTTTGCATTTTTTTCAAATAATCACAGAGTAAGCAAATAAGCAGCTGGCTTTTCTCACAAGCATATATATCTTCTCATAGAATGACATCTAGAGGAAATGGCTTTTGGGCAAAAATGTGTATTGTTCCATAACTACTCCCCCCCCCCCCGTATCACCTTACATCCTAAAGGCTCCAAATCCTCTCACTATTCCAGATTCCATTTATGACACAGGAAGATTTTGGGCAATGAATACCAAGGAAGAGAAAAGTCCCCTTTACTAGTGTAATAGACAATTGTACAATCAAAATTCTAACTTTACTAGTAAACACATAAGGAAAGGAACTTCCATAAATGAAGACTAATCATATAAGACCAAATTAAAACTGCATTACGAGCTGAGACAGAAATAAAGAGATGCAGCAGAACCATTACACGAGAGCTTTTGACGATGTTATATATGAAGGGGTTCTAATGGGAGAGGTAACTGATAAGGGAACTAAAAGGAAAAGAGAAGAAGTGATTAACCAACCTAAAACCAATGCACATCAATAAACACACACATACAAACATATATTCTGCTGTATCTCAGTGTCGTTTTAAGCCTGAATCTTTAGTTTAAACGAGAAGAGGCTACAAAAAGTAATGCACGACTCAATGAGCACTTTAAACGACTTAAAATTTTGATCTTTATATACAACAACATCATGCTCAAATATATTTGACTTATGCTATTGAAACCAAAGACAAACAATGAGAGGGATTCAAAGCTAGCATCAACGATTGAGCCAACTGGTCTTACAAAACTGGGTAGAAACTAACGAAAGCAATTTTTCATTTCATGATCCGATGTAGAGCAACAAAGAAGATGAACATACCTATTAGCAAAACAACTGAAAATATCAACTGAAACTCTGAAATAGGAGAAGAAATTCAGCAAGAGTAACAATAGCTCAATAGATCAGCCAACCAAATCCAAATTGCAACAAAAAATCGGACAGAAAAACCACAGCGCCAAAGCTCCAAATCCCAGCGACAAAACCCCAACTTAAACTTCAATCCAAAACCATACTTGAAGAACAGAGATCGAAGAGAAAATGCGGAGATTTGTAATTTTAAATTCTTTTGAAATGAAGTGAANTATATATATATATATATATATATATATATATATATATATATATATATATATTTGAAAAGATGTCGAATCAAAAAAGAAAAGGCCTCAGAAGAAGAAAAACTTCAAAACCCTAGAAATTTTACTACTAAATGTTCTGAAGATTTTTTCTCTGATATTTCCTTAGCTCTTAAACAAGAAAACTCACCTTTTATATATCCCTCCAAAAATCTTGAAGCTTCTGCCCAAATATCCGAAAATCCTCATGTTTTTGAACGATTTTTGGGACAAATGGAAGGCATGGATCGATTTACATCCATCCACAACTCCCATTCATCCAGCAAATTATTCCATCGTACAAAAATCGTACAATTTTGGAGAGAATATTCTTTCTCCTCTGACAGAAAACCATTGAAATAAAGTGACGTGGAGAGGAGGAGACCCATTTGAGTGAACTCGCCTGAGTTTCAGGCGAGTTGAGGTTGGGCTCAATGAGGGAGATGTTGAACAGTAACGGATGTGCGTCGTTTCTGTGTTATTTGGGTCTAGGGTTTGGATTAGGGAAATGGTATAAGGAGGCTTATATATGGAGGGAGACGGGCGGGTCAAAATAGGCGGGTTTGGTCCGATTCTTCTTGGGCTGGGGCGGTAAAGGAGAGTATTTAGGCTGAGGGTTTAAGGGTGCAACCCAAGTGTGCTAGACCCACTTTAAAATCATTTTTCCCTCTTTCTTTATTATATCTTTAATCTCTTTTTTTAAAGTAAAAGAAAAATCCCAAATTAATCTAAATTATTTAACAAAATAGAATTAAACTAATTATCTAATTACAAAATTATAAACATCACTTAATTCTACATTAAAAGAAAAATTAATAAATTAAAAATTTAAAGACAACAAATGTAAAATTGAGCTATTTTGTGATTTTCAAATTTCTATAAAATAAATAATTACTGATTAATTCTAAAAAATGCAAAAACAAATCCTAAGTACAATGCATAATATTTTGGGTATTTTTCATGATTTGAATAAAAATTAAACATGCACATAAATGCAAATAATTAAGAAAATTCTATCAAAATTCTTAAAATGGCAAATAATTAACAGAAAACCTATTTTCTTGGGATTTTATATGAATATTTTATATAGGGTAAAAATCACATACTTACAGCTGCCCCTATTTTCTCGGAAACACGAAAGATTTTAGGGCAAAGACAAAATGAGCAACTATGAGGGATTTTTGCCCGTTTGAAACTCCATGAGAAACATCTTTTGAAAAAGCCTGACTGAACCTTGCTTCGGAGGTTGCCTACATATCCTTGGCTATAAAGGAATCAGGTTAGTGTAGTTCTGGAAGTTTTGGTAGCTGGGACTACCGGAAAACTGTGATTTCACTGCTGTTGCTGTTGTTTCTACTTTGCTGAACTCCTTCTTACACCAAATGAAAGATAGAAAGCTAAACTAACTAAACATATCAACTACGAGTTACAAGATTCCTATCTATAAACCTTCTAAAGCTTGATCTTGAGTCTTGGATGGTTCTTCCTGCAGACTCTGATCTGAATCTTGATGGTCTTAGTTGCAACCGCTGGTTCATTCTTCTTTTCGGATCGAGGCGGGACATGCAAAACTTGTGACTTCAATCATATCTTGGGCAGTCTGTATCTTTTACCCGCTGCTGCACTTAGAGTTCAGTTTATTTTCTTGTTCTTCTTTTCTTTTATTTAGGTTGAGACTCCTTCTTTTGGTCATCTCAATCTTGTGCCTCACAGTGAAAACCTATTCAGGCACCAAAGCAAACAAACGAACGAAATTTTTCTGCCCCAGTTTTCATTAGGAAAATTTTGTGAGTTATTATAACAAAAATCTAAACTATTTATTTATTTGAAAGCAATAAAATAAGGATTGTGTATCCTTGGGAAAAAGATATTAGGGAGTGGATCCTTATATCTATACTAAAATCAACCAGGGAGTGGAGACCCTATGTTGGAAAAATGACTAGGGAGTGGAGACCCTATGTCTTAAAATAATTTCAACTAGGGAGTGGAGACCCTATGTTGGAAAAGCAGACTAGGGAGTGGAGACCCTATGTTGGAAAAGCTGACTAGGGAGTGGAGACCCTATGTATAAAATAAAATTAACTAGGGAGTGGAGACCCTATGTCTAAAATAAACTCAACTAGGGAGTGGAGACCCTAGGTTGGAAAGGCGACTAGGGAGTGGATACCCTATGTCTAAAATAAACTCATCTAGGGAATGGAGACCCTATGTTGGAAAAGCTGACTAGGGAGTGGAGACCCTATGTCTAAAATAAACTCAACTAGGGAGTGGAGACCCTAGGTTGGAAAGGCGACTAGGGAGTGGATACCCTATGTCTAAAATAAACTCATCTAGGGAATGGAGACCCTATGTTGGAAAAGAAGACTAGGGAGTGGAGACCCTATATCTTAAATAAAATCAACTAGGGAGTAGAGACCCTATGTTGGAAAGGTGATTAGGGAGTGGAGACCCTATGTCTAAAATAAAATCAACTAGGGAGTGAAGACTCTATGTCTAAAATAAGCTCAACTAGGGAATGGAGACCCTATGTTGGAAAGACGACTAGGTAGTGGAGACCCTATGTCTAAAAATAAACTTAACTAGGGAGTGGAGACCCTATGTTGGAAAAACGTAACTAGAGATTGGGGACCCTAAGCTACCATTTTTTTTTGAATTTTTCTTCTGATATCTTTTTTTTCATTTTGTTTCTTCCTCTTTTTTCTTTTCTTCTCTTTTTTTATTTCATGGAATGAGTGAATGTGGGAAAGAATTTTAGAGAGGACTTCCCTTTTATGGATTGTTGCTACAAAACTGTTTCTAGTCCTCACGCATTTTCTTTTGGTTGCACCTTCTTCTTGCAAGGTTGCTTTGGATTGCACCTGTTTCATGTTTTCAAACAAAGAACAATTGTTAGTTTGAAACGGTGGTTGGTTTAGTGGCCTTGATTATTTTTGATCACTCGATCTTAGCCCGACTCTTTTAATGGGAATCTCTGTTGCTTGCTGGCTTTCTGGAGATCGATATCTCTTCTAAAACTAAGGACCCTAACTTTCCAAAATTTTCACATGACGGTTCACCCGTGTGGGACTTTGGATTTTTCATCTTATTCTGCCTTTATAGGCACTTAACTTTGGATTTCTTTCATTTTCAATAATTTTGACTTTGGAGCATCGGCCATTACGGCCAGTCGGGATCGACTTGATGCACCTGCTGAGGCTGGGTGCTTTTTTTTTGCATTCGGATATTGTCAAGCAGAACCCTATAAACCAATCTTGCCATCTTTTCTCCACTAATTTCAGAGAAGAATTAAACTGAAAGAGATTCAAAGAAAAGTAAACAAAGGATAGGAAAGTGAATTTAAAGAGAAGTGTCTCTTTTGGGGAGGAAAGAAGGACTTATCTGGAGTGCATGTAGACTTAAATAGACATGACATGCTTCTTATACTGGATACTCGATCTACGCAACTATCCAACTTCTCATAAACCCATTATGACCCATGTTTTAAAACCGGGAAACCTTGACAGGACTCTTTCAGTGCTAATGTTTGTAAGGTATTCTTCCTTTTCGATCAATGGCGCCCTTTACGGGTTTTCGCCAATTGACCTCTCTCATTTCTCTTCTCACCGTTGCCTTATAGTGCTCTTTACGAGTTTTCACTTACAAGACTCTCTCATTTTCAATTTCTCTCCTCACCATCACCTTACGGTGCCCGTGTGGGTTTTCACCAATAAGACTCTCTCATTTTGTTTCTCTCATCTTGATTGCATCGGATCCAAATAGTTGCATTCTCCGACCCTTGAACATTCTCACCGATTGATAGGAAGGACTTGAAAGGATTTGGGTAAACATAATTTGGATCGAATTACAACTTTGGAACCATTTAGGCGGGATCATTGTCGAACTATTACAACATCTGCCCCAGTTTTACTTTTGGGGGAATTTGGAGTTTTATTTTGGTGTGACTGAACCCTAGAGAGAGGCTGCCTACGTATCCTTTCAGAATCAAGCCGAACATAGTTCAGGGAAACTTTTGTTTTGTTGTTTTTCTTTTTCTTTTGTTTTGATTTTTTTTTGAAACGTTTTCAGGTTCCAAAAGGGGTAATCAAACAAAGGTAACCGGCTCAAAGGGTTAGCAAAAGGGTTGAAGTGTTTGGGGTAGCGAGAATGAAAGCCTTCATCATCCCAATCGGATAATATTAGTACCACAAAAGATTTAAACGTAGTACCTTTTGATTGCGTCTGCATTTACGGCTGTTTCAAGGTCATTTCCTTCAATGTCTCCCAAGTACAATGCCTTTTTGGCAATAATTTTCAAAGAGTGTATGGGCCCTTCCAGTTAGGAGCGAACTTTCCTTTTGCTTTATTGTGATGAGGGAGAATACATCTCAAAACAAGTTGCCCCACTTCAAAGTTCCTAGGCCGCACTTTCTTATTGTAGGCACGGGCCATTCTTTGTTGATACAACTGCCCGTGGCAAACTGCGGCCATCTGCTTTTCATCAATCAGGGTTAACTGTTCCAGAAGGGTTTTGACCCATTCACTGTCCTCAATCTCAGCTTCTACAATGATCCGAAGAGAGGGCATTTCAACTTCTGCGAGTATCACGGCTTCAGTGCCATAAACCAAAAGATATGGGGTTGTTTTGACTGATGTGCGCACAGTTGTGTGATATCCCAACAATGCAAACGACAACTTTTCATGCCATTGCCTGGAACTTTGGATCATCTTCCTAAGAATCTTCTTGATGTTCTTAATTGCTGTTTCGACAGCACCATTAGCTTTAGGCCGATAAGGGGTAGAATTTCGATGCGTGGTCTTGAACTGCTCACATATTTCCCTCATCAAGTGGTTATTCAAGTTTGCAACATTGTCCGTAATGATAGTTGCAGGAATACCAAAACGGCAAATGATATTGGAGTGCACGAAGTCTACCACTGCTTTCTTAGTGACCGCTTTGAGAGTGACTGCCTCAACCCATTTTGTAAAGTAATTAATGGCAACCAATATGAATCTATGCCCATTTGAAGCTTTTGGCTCGATTGTCCCAATGACATCCATACCCCAGGCAACGAACGACCATGGTGCCAACATAGGATGCAGTTCTGTAGGTGGTGCATGAATCAGGTCACCGTGTACCTGACACTGATGACATTTCCGGACAAAACTGAAGTAATATTTTTCCATAGTCATCCAGTAATAGCCTGCACGAAGGATTTTCTTTGCCAGAACATATCTGTTCATATGGGGTCCACACACCCCTGTGTACACTTCATGCATGATTCCTCCGACCTCTTCGGTATCCACACATCTCAATAAATTAAGATCTGGAGTCCTTTTGTACAAGACCTCTCCGCTCAAGAAGAAACTGATGGCAAGCCTTCTAATGGTTCTCTTTTGGTCTCCACTGGCTTGCTCGGGATATTCTTTCGTTTTCAGAAATCTCTTGATATCATGATACCATGGCTGAATATCCGGTTCTGCCTCAACCGTATTGCAGTAACCATGCCTTTCTC